TTGTTTCCGTTCGTTAACTCGTAAAAATATAAATGGCTTTTACTTATAGAGAGGCTTAAGTAATCTTGTTTTTTTCATCAAGTGATAAAGTGAATAATAATTATTCAACAACCAGCAAACATTCGAGCAATATGAGTATACAATCGTCGAGAGAGAGAAAGAGAAGACAGTATGTGAAAACAAAAAAGTCCGAGAGAGTGAATCAATCGAGTAACAAACCTGAATGGTAGCAGCAACTTCACTTCCGAAACCTTGAGTCAGTGGAGCTTCGTGAGATATGACAGCTCGACCGGTTTTTTTTACTGACTGCAAGAAAAAAGAAGATGACGTTCGTCAATGATTTTATTACATTTGATTTATTTGCGATACTGCTGTCGGCATAAAACGCACGTTAGTTCAGGCAGCATTATTACCTTGCACACAGTTTCAGCATCCCACGGGAGGATCGAGCAAAGATCTATGACCTCGCACGATGCGCCAAGCTCCTTTTGCGCGAGACCTGCCACTTCCAACAACACGTGGATTTGCGTTCCCCAACCGATTAACGTGATTGCATCGCCTGTACGTTCAAATGAATATATAATTTATCAATGCTTTTATATAAGACTCGTTTTGTCAATTGATTTTCCGATGGTGGCGAAACCTTTGAAAGACTAGACCGCAAACAGATTTGTTTTCTTACCATAGCTTCTTTATCGTGCACATTCTAATTGGTTTAATTGGAAGATAAAATTATTCTTTTGAAGGTTTTTCCACATTGTTGAAGTGAGGATTCAATATTTTTTCGTGATTATTTTGGAATTGTTGAAATGCATTTTTTATTAGTTACAACAGAATGTATCGATAGAGTCAATTGATGTCAGCCTTGGCGGGACATCAAACGCTTAAAAAAGCATCTATCAGAAATTAATCGATCTTTGAAGAAGACCTGAGAGAAATCGATCGTTTATTCGTATGCATAGAAGCAGTCGGTCGTGAAATAACAAGCTGTTTAAAATATATAACAATTAGATATATGCTCTCGACTTTTTATATGAAAACTGTTCAAGTTGTTTTTTCGACGCAGATCTTATTTTTCAAGCGGTATTTTATCGAAAATTGAAATAACATTGAAATTATGGTGAGAATTTCCTGCTGAAAAATAAAATTTGTAATATAGCTTAAAATTGCTGAAATGTCTCAATCCGCTAGCAATAATGCCAAAAATGCATTAATTACTTTTTGAAACAGCACGATTCCTTTTGTTTAAAGTCAAAGTAAAATCAAAGTCACGCAATTTTATTCGATAATAATCACGAGCTCGAGGCAAAGTGTGATTGTGCTGAAAACAATCTCCGCAAAAGGCGCGAAATCAGAAAAATTTCTAGGAAAGTGCGCGTATCAGCAATTTAATCGTTGGAAAAATGCAAAAACACTCGTGATGTTTATATATATCGACGCGTGCACATACCTTCAAGCACGACATCGGCTTTGCCAAGCGGTAACTTGTAATATTCTGTAGGCACTTTGTCAATGGCTGTGCGATAAAGTATCTTCGGCTCGAGGAAGATGCAGGGATCCGGTTCTTCGATACAGCTTAACAGCAAACCTTTGGCCTGTACCGGACCTCGTGGAACGACAACCTGTTATATTCATTGAAAAGATTTAGTTGTTGCTTTCAATCTTCGCCGGGACTCCGAGCATTAAAGAAATGAAATTAATGAACAATACCATAAGGAATTAGCAGAGTGGAAAAAAATATGCTAAAAGATTTATGGCCGAGAAAAGAATCGCAAATCAATCCTGCGTATAAAATATTGTCATGAAAAGATGACTGACCTTGAGACCGGGCGTATGTGCAAAGTAGGCCTCCGGACTTTGCGAATGGTAGAGAGCACCATGGCCCACAGCACCACAAGGACTTCTCACCGTCAGTTTGCCACAATCGAACTGACCGCCACTTCTGTATCGAGTCTTCGCCGCCTCGTTTACCAACTGTCAATCACACAACCGCGAGTTTTCAAAGTTCCGTATCTATATCTATATGCATCGCGTTCTTTGCGAAGCAAAATTTTACCTGATCGAACGCTGGAAAGATGTAGTCGGCAAATTGGATCTCGGCAATAGCGGTGATGCCGAGGTTGGCTAAGCCGATACCGAAACCCACGATACCTTGCTCGCACAATGGCGTATTGAAAACACGATGCTGGCCGAAACGTTCTGTCAGACCCATTGAGCAACGGAACACGCCACCAAATTCCACGTCTTCGCCAAATAGCACTGCAACACCATATATTGATTGTTTATCGATTGGATAGAAAACGCATGATTATTTCTTTCGTCGGCAGCAAAATTGTATTCGTTCCTTGAAACCTTGCAGCGGAATTGTCATGTAATCGTTTTCGTGAATTATTTATGGCACTTCCTTTTCTTTTGTATCTATAGATAATAAGAAGCGATGAGGCACTGGTGTGCAGTAACCGGTTGTTGGAGAATGAGGCGATGTTTCTGTTTCTTTCTTGAAATGGCGATTACTAAGCGTGACTTTCCTGTTGAATGGGGGATATCGTAAATGAAAAGTTACCTGCTGTTTCGTCCTTTTCCAGTGTTAAATGCATAGCATCGTTTATGGCCTGCATCATGTTCATGTCTTTGGTTTCTCCTGTGAAATACATGAATAAAATTTCAAAATAGATTTTCAAAATAAAATGCATTCCACTCGACTCATCATACATTATGTAGACATTGACAAACTAAAGAATTCGTTACCTTTTCTCTCGGTCTTTGTATCTGGATGAAACGCAAAGTGGTGTGCATTTCGACAATGTTTCACTAAATCATCACTTCGTCGAAATAATCGTATATATTTCGTGGCTCGCTGCAAAGGAGCGCACGACCTACTGAGAATCATGATCGACTAACACTGCTCGTCAACGAATGCGGCGATAACGGGAGCTCATTATCATCTAAAAGCTTATTTACACAAGAACAAGATAGTAGTTTTAGAATGATATCCCTTCTCCGTTATCCACAATATATGTTAGCCACCACGAGCGAACTAAGAGTCGCTTCAATCGCGTACTGTGATGTGTTCTTGAGTCGTTTAAATTTGAACGACGAAAACACGCGTTACTCAGGTTAGATATACGACGCATGTCGATCAATAACCTTTTAATTTTCTTTTTTGGAAGTAGGTTCCGAGTATAATTTCCGATATAAATTGAATTTTGATAAAATGACAAAATACAGATTATTGTGCACGATTGTACAGTTTTTTAAAACAAGGTTTAAAACATACAAAATTATCTTGAATACTTTCACTAACTTATATGGATGATCATAGTTTAACGAGTCAGACCAGACCTAGCCGCTCGCATTTTCCTATTACCTATCGAGAGAGAAAGAGCCTATTCCACGTTCAACTTTTTGTTTTTCTGTATCAACTACTCATTCTAGGCCAAGTATGAGAATCACAATTTTACTTCAATTGGTAACAAAATCTTCTATTAATAGAACATTTACAAGATTACTTGAAAAAGAAAACTAACATTAATAATGTAAAATAACAATCTTAAAATATTAGTGATTGCTGGGCACACTGATGTTTATCGTTTTGGTTTCCAAATATTCTTCTAACGAATCGACTCCCCTGAAAAAGAAAGTAAATATTTGAAAGCTTTATCGCAACGTTTCATTTGAAAAATTTTTTTTTAGATAATTTAATTTACAATTCTCGTCCTAATCCAGACATTTTGTAACCACCAAAAGGAGTTTGAGGATGAATGACGCCCCATTGATTGACCCTATAAACATTTTCAATGTCAATCAAACTTCTCGTTCGAATGGTTTATCAATTGAATAGAAATTTTGTTACCAAATTGTGCCAGCTTGTACTCCCTTTGAGAATTCTAATGCGACGTTTAGATTTTCAGTGAAAACGCCAGCCGATAAGCCATATGTTGTATCGTTAGCTCGCTTCAACACTTCATCTAGAGTTTCAAATTTAAAAATACTTTGAACCGGGCCAAATATCTAGAATAAGAAAAGAATATTGTTATTGTGAATTGTAAAATAGAATTTTATTTAAATATGATTACCTCTTCTTTTGCAATCGTCATATCGTCCGTTACATTCGTGAATACTGTTGGTTCTACAAAATATCCTATATTGCCATGACGTTTACCGCCGATTTCGCATTTGGCACCTTCCTTTTTGCCAGTTTCAATCAAACTCAGTACTTTTTTGAATCCCGTGGTATCGATCTGCAATAATTAATCATCATAAGTAAAATACCTAATAAAATTTTTCGAAAAAAAACAATTTCATGATAAGGTACAATAAGTGGAGTCATATAGTTGATTATATAATATATGTTGAAAATGACTCACTTGTGGTCCCTGGAAAACATCAGGCTCAAAAGCGTCTCCAACCTTGACTTTGGAGGCTAGTTCGACGTATCGTTTTACAAATTTATCATAAATTCCGGATTGAACAAAAAGTCGTGTTGGTGCAATACACGTTTGACCGGCATTTACAAAAAGTGCATCAGCAGCGTATTTCAAAGCCAGTTCCACTGTAAAATAGTTGGTTATTAGGCTAGTCACGCTAGTCTACAATCTATAGTCAAGTAGTAACAAATGGCGGAGTTATTACTTACGATTTGCGTCGTTAAACACAACCAGTGGACTCTTTCCTCCCAATTCCAGGCTTACTTTTTTCAAATTGGACTTTGCTGATGCTTCCAAAATGCATTTTCCCACCTGTGTAACATTAAAAACATAATTATTAGATACTAATCGCAAAGAGGAAAATTATTAACAAACGAGAAACGTACGGATGTGGAGCCAGTGAAGCTGACTTTATCAATGTTAGAATGGCTTGAAATAGCAGCACCGGCAGTAGGACCAAAGCCCGACAGGAAGTTAACGACACCCGCTGGGAATCCAACTTCCTTGACAAGGCTCGCCACGTAGAGTGCGGTCAAGGGTGTTTGCTCAGCCGGCTTGACGATAACTGTGCAGCCACTTGCTAAAGCCATTCCAAGTTTGAAGCTCAGCAGGATTATGGGGTAATTCCATGGTATGATTACTCCCACAACACCCACCGGCTCTTTTCTCGTCAAAGTGAATTCTTTGCCGTCTAAAATAGACATTGATATCTGAAATATTCTGTTCGAAAATACCAAAAGGAATTTGTCGTCGTACCAGACGGTATAGTTTTTCCATGAATTTTGTCAGCGCATCCAGCATAGTAGCGAAGGAAATTCGCCGCATCCAACGTCTGATAATAAGAATTAATGAACGGCTTCCCATTATCCAATGATTCCAAACTGGCAATCTCGTTCACATTCTCCTCAACAAGATCGGCAAGCTGCGTACATCCATTCGCGATTAATATGTTTATCTAGCAAGTTACCATTTAGAAGCAATCAAACGGTTGCATACTTTGTAAAGGAGTCTTCCGCGCGCAGAAGCATCGAGATTTCTCCACGTAGATCCCCTTTCGAATGCTGCCCTTGCTGCTTTTACGGCAATATCCACGTCAGCCTGTAAATGATCGATATTTGCGTAAAAAATAATCAAGATACAAGATTAAAAAACATATAAAGAAAGGATTTTTTTTCATCGCACCTTATCGGCTTCTGAAATTTCTGCTATAACTTTTTCGTTGGAAGGATTAACTGTCTGGAATTTTTTGCCGCTTACAGAGTCCACCCATTCATTGTTGATGAATAACTGCAATGAGAAAAAAGTGAAGTCACGATTTTTTTTTCGAATTATTAGTTTGTTCGCGCTTCTAACATCTTGCTTACAAATTGAAAATAAGGCCAACGAATCAGAAAGTATGACGGAGTAGGTTTTCAAAATTATCGACGTGGTACAATTGACGCAACAATTTCACAATAACACGTCGAGGAAAAAAGCTTTAGTATGACTTGTCGCAAGCTTTGTTAAATAGTTACAACGTACGATGACAAAGTGAAAATAATTGATAAGCATAAATACCTTGGTGTACTTGATTTGGGGGTTTGCCGTTGACTTCGGTGCTGGAGCCATGCTGTAATCTGAACTTCTTGTTATTTACCTACGAGAATAGTAAGCACGTGATGACTCAGTCCGTCACCGTCAAAGTTACACGCGCGAGTGCGATAGCAGCCGAAATGATCCATATATATCACGGCTAATCCCCACCACCAATTTCTTCCACCTCGAATTTATACGGATAGTTGTATGGTTGGGTGGCACACAATAAGGCGTTCTACTATCATAGAAGTTTGAATTTGTTTCTCTTGTACACGATGGATTAATGAAAGATCGCGCATAAATTTATTGGCAATAAATTTAATGACAACTGCAACCAGGCACGTATTGCTAATTGAAATCCTAATACGTGCTTTAGTAATCAAAGAATGACGCCATAGAAATCTGACTCTTAAAAATGCAATATCAAGCATGGAAGATGTCCTGTCTTTCCTTTAGCAACTTATGATGATTTTCTAATATTTTATCAGTTCAGTAAGTGTATTCATAATAACACCGAAAATGACTTGTGAATATTAATTAAATTTCTTATTCATGAGCAGGAAAATCAATAAACGCGATTGGGAACCTCATAGAGACGAATTTTTTCTACATAAGTGCTTTTTGCGTAGTAGTAAACTCGTTTGATATTTTGAGAAGCTGAAAAAGAAACAACTACAAAAGTATAAAAATTCTTTTTTAGCAAACAGAATTTCTCGAGCTATACGGTGTAGACGAAACATCTGGACGAGTGAGAAAATGGAGGTATGCAACACTCGCACACAAGCGTGCGACAACAGTGAACAGCTTACAGCTGACAATAGCAACGGATACCTTTCAAAATGAAGAATACTAAGCAAAAAATCAATATCTTCTTTTCAATGGTGGTACCATCGGAGTTGTGAGCTAGGGTGCTGATATATTTCGGTATTTATTTAAAAGGGATTAGTTTTAAACAAATGTTTTACAAATGTTTCTACAATTACTTGCAAAAATAATCTTTAATTTAATTTAATAATAATCTTTAATTTAATAATCAAGTTGGTAATGAAATTTCCAAATGAGCCTATCCACATTGAAATCGGTTCAATCATTCAAAAGATATGTGTGAGCGTACGTCAAAAATTAGATCGAATATAAAACTTCCTCCTTGAACCACCAATCGTTATTTCGTCAGCATTTCTGAATAATAATATATCATTATGAATGTTGTTTTACGAATATCTCTTAAAGGGACTTGTTACCTTATTGTCAGCTTAATTATTATCAGTTTTGCGTTTTATTTTTCTTGATTAGTTGGGCATTATCAATTTTTAATTAAGAATTTTCAAGAAAACGAAATAAGCTTACTTTCGTATCAGCTGTATGCTTTATAAAGCTTATGCGAAATATCATTTTGCCGTCTGCATTCTGCCGTGAAAATAAAAAAATAAGCTATATGTGTACCCTAATTTTAGTAAAAAGATTTTGTATAAAAATATTATATAAAGTTTGACATTAGTGAGTAATCTTACCTTCAGCTAACAGATCAATACGTTAACTATAGTATTTTTGTTTTTCATTTACGACTAAATAATCACTAAAACAATCATTAAAATTTATAGACAGCGACCTGATTCATTTGTCCTCTATTTTCAAAAAACGCATGCGTCGTTTTTAAAAATATCTTAGAAAAATGTTTACAAGTTATATGTAAATGGTTCTTTTTTAAAATCTGAATTTGTCATCTTTACATTATCAATATCAATGTTAATTTCTTTTACTTTTTGTACAGGTATTACTGCCTTTGCATAACTACTTTATCATACTCAATGCACAAAATTCCCACTACCCTAAGTCTTGAATTTACTTTGAAACATTGAAATAACTGACTATCTTGTTATAGCATTTTTCAATAATGTCCAGACTGTTTTGAGTTAATATACTAACGTTGTCATATAACGTATGAATGATATATCATTAAATAATGTGTTCAACACTATAGTGAAAACATTATCATAGTGATATTATATGTAATAAAAACCGAAATCGTTATTATATAAATATAACATTATCTACGCCCTGGATTATTGCAAAATTGATCATTTTAAATTTAGACTGTAGCCGATAAACCAGAAATCTGCTTTATTGCTGGATACCAACGTATTGTATACACTAACTAATTATATAATAACTTAATTTATGTATATGTTTTTTAAAATATTTAATTACAGCTCGTATTCTATAATTTTTTGATCAAAACTATAAAATTTTAAATGCAAGCTAATATAAAAAATAATATATCAACTCATTTATAACAATTAATATTTATAACTTTTAAGTTTCTCTTTATAACGTAAAAGTTAAAAAATATACCTGAAACCTATTACTTTTATAATTTAAAGGTTGTAAAATTGATAGGTTTGGAAATCAAATGCACTAAAATACGCGAATCATAATTTGTGATAAGAGAACATTATTTCTTTTAATGAGTTGTTAATTAGCCGCTCGACACTGCAAATATTTTTTAATGAGCACATTTTTCATTGATAAATTACAGCATGATATATTATTACAAACAAACATTTACCGCAAGTACAATATAACTCATCTGAACAATTGAATGTTGAAATAGCGATAAATAAATATCAATATTAATTCACATTTCCCTCGTGCGAAACAATTGTAAAAGTTTTGCTAAAGCTTCAGCAGGTAAAGTTTATCGTGTATTCGACAGCAAAGTATTTCTAACTATAAATTGTCGAATGAAATGATAAGCGATGAAAAATTATCTGAGTTGGAGTGTCATCGTGAATAGTGATATTAAGTTTGCCAATAGCTTATAAAAGACTTATCGGCTAAGTGAACGGGTACAGCAGGAAGATACCGCCTTATTAGTCCTGGCCGTGTAATAATCTGCCTATGAAAAGGCGTCTCCCAGCGTATCGCACGAGGGGGAGCCGGTATACGCGCCTGTAGATATACACATTGTGAAACTTGCCTGGTACAAAAACATCGTAGCTCTCGCAGAACCGACTCACTTTGTAACAGCGTTCCGTGCCTCTTCGATATTTAACGACGACGAACATGGGCAGCTCCAAGCCGGTGATCAAGTATACCAAGGTTAGACTTATTTCAATTTGTTTGATGTTTCTTTTTTTTATGATCACCCGATTCTTCCTCTTTGCGCATCTTGTCTGGCTTTCACCGATTGAAACTGCATCTAATGTTTACGAATACACATAGTTTGTTCGTACGAAATTTTTCTACTACCGTTTTTTTTTTTATGGACGTAGTGAATAAATTCTCTTTTGCTTTCATTATCAATTCAATCATATATGAAATGAACACTTTATATAAGAGACATTCCGATTCAACATTATAATTGGCATCAAGAAACTTTTGCACGCAAGCAAGCATCATGTGAACATTCATTAAGTTTTTAATACTTAGCAGTGGCGTATTTAAGTTAAAAATCGTATTTTAAAATCTTTAAAAATATTAATAAAAAAACTTAGTCACAGATTTCCTGTAATTATTTTCTTAAACTATAAATAATGCGTACTAAATAAATTATCATCATTAAATTTTTATATTTAGATCACGAAAGCGATTTGTGTAGATATTTATGAACAAAATATTTATGAACTAAATTCATTTTCATCCTTGTTGATTACACTATAACGTGATTTAAATGAAATATAACAATTCCTCGATTGATTGATGTAATAATTAGGTAAAAATATGATCTAGAGACCATACCATTTACCATTTACGTAAATTTTTTTCAGCTTCGAAGAGCGTCGAATATTTAGCATTGAAAAATTTGTAAAAATTTTTATTTGTAGTTGTTTATCAACAACGAATTTGTAGATTCCGTTAGTGGAAAAAAGTTCCCGGCTGTTAATCCAGCGACCGAGGCTGTTATCGCTAATGTATCCGAAGGAGACAAGGTATATAAAAACATTCACGAGTATTAATTTTCACAATAGCCTAATTACCGTCATGAAATTAATAATTTTTTTAGGCCGACGTCGACAAAGCCGTTGCAGCAGCCAGGAAAGCTTTCTCACGAAAATCAGCATGGCGCACTATGGACGCGTCTGCGCGAGGAGAGCTAATGCTCAAAGTAAGTTTCCAATCTACGTAGCGATAAGAAAGCCGCGAACTACATTTGAAAGTGAAAAAAAATTCGCAGCTTGCAGACTTGATGCATCGCGACATCGAGTATCTGGCGAGTGTCGAGGCACTAAACAATGGAAAAACTTACGTCAGCGCTCAAGGTGATATCCAAGCGAGTATCCAGTGCATTCGTTACTATGCCGGCTGGTGCGATAAGATTCAAGGGTCAACAATTCCAGCAGGTATGAGATTATGCGATGAAAAAAATCTCCCCTGCGGCATCAGCATTATGAACAATGTTATTTTGCGATTTCGTAGACAATGGATTCTTCTCAATGACGAAAAAGGAACCAGTTGGTGTTGTCGGACAAATCATCCCCTGGAATTACCCGATTCTGATGGCTGCATGGAAATGGGGACCAGCTCTCGCAACTGGTTGTACAATCGTTCTGAAGCCAGCGGAACAAACACCTTTAACTGCACTACACTTGGCTGCTTTGGCCAAGGAAGCTGGTTTTCCTCCTGGTGTTATTAACGTAGTTAATGGATTTGGCCCGACTGCTGGTGCAGCTATTGCTGAACATCCTGATATCAACAAGGTTGCTTTTACTGGATCGACCGAAGTAAGATTCCTTTCAACAATTTGTATTTTAGAAATTACGAATAGCTTAATAATGTCAGGTTTATTCTACAGGTCGGTCATCTCATCATGCAAGCTGCTGGAAAGTCTAACTTGAAACGTATCAGTCTAGAGCTCGGTGGCAAAAGCCCTCTTATAGTCCTTGACGATGCAGACCGTAAGTTATTTGCACGACTCTGACCCTTTTTTTAATTAATTCTATGCATCTCTTAATATTAATAATATTACTTAGTGAAATTCAAAGCCAGTTAAATAGAAATTAAATCGTTTTTTTATTATTATAACAGTGAAAATGGCAGCTGACGTTGCCCACCATGCGATTTTTGATAATCATGGACAGAGTTGCTGCGCTGGTTCGCGCACTTTTGTCCACGCTAAGGTCTACGACGAATTTGTAAAGAATGCCAAACAGTTGGCTGAAAACAGAAAGGTTGGTGATCCATTTGACAAAAACACCGACCAAGGACCACAGATTGATTCGGAAATGTTCAAAAAAGTACTTGGACTCATTGAGTCTGGAAAGAAAGAAGGAGCCACTGTAGTTACTGGTGGTGGTCGTGCTGGTACTGTTGGCTACTTTGTCCAGGTATTTGTTAAGCTTGCTTGACGAAAGATTTCACGTTTATCTGTCTCATTTTTAACAAAATGTGATGATTCTAGCCGACTGTCTTTGCTAACGTGGAAGATAATATGAGAATCGCGAAAGAAGAAATTTTCGGACCTGTACAGTCTATTTTTAAATTCAATAATTTGGAAGAAGCCATTGAGAGAGCAAATAAAACTAATTATGGCCTTGCAGCTGGTATTATCACTAAAGATATTGATAAGGCTATGACCTTTGCTAATTCTGTAGATGCTGGGAGTGTTTGGTATGTATCTTTACTTTTATCAAAATTTTATTTTCCAATGGTCAGACTGATGGTTAATATTAATTGAAGGATCAATGGATATGATTTGCTCACTGCTCACACACCTTTTGGCGGATTCAAGCAATCTGGCATTGGCCGTGAATTGTAAGATTGCCAATATTATATCTGTTTATACTATGTTAATGCATTGATTTTCATATTCGATAATACCTAAAATTCTATTTACAGGGGTGAAGAAGGTTTGCATGAATACCTTGAGATAAAGACCATAACGATGCGAGTGTTATCATAAAATATTTTTTTATCAGAATCAGCAAACAAGATAATATTGAAACCAGAAAATGTTTTGTAAGACTTTGTATCAATTTTAATATGTTGTGTAAATGGAATAAGCATATTATATATTTATAAAAGAAAGTAAAAATAGTAGTTTTCATAAATTCCATTTCTTCAGATTTTTTATTTCATTACCTGAACTTTATACAATTAATTAACAAACAATATTGGATCACATACTTTTTGTCTGTAAAAGTAAAATTAATTTAACTTTAACAAAATAAATTTGAAATGACTTCATGGTTTATTTGAGTTTTGAGTTTACCTAGTAAACTATGCATCATCAGGTGGGATGCCCAGCTCTTCGTCTGTCCATGACCTGGGATTAGGTAAGAATTCACCATCATACAGTCCCTAAATATATTTTAAGATGAATAGAGTCTTAATAATATTTTACTTCCTTTATCAACATATGAACATTCTTAATCATATTACTGTGAGGTGTTTCAACATTTATCTTAAATACATTGGTATGATTTCATTTTACTTCAATAAAGACATTTAAATTTGGAAATTATCAAAACGTTAAAAACAACATTAAAATAAGAATAGTAGAAAATTATCATAAGATCTAAATAAATACATACAATAAGATGAGGCCATCCATGCCACAAATTCCAGTAAAACCACCAGAAACCAATTGATGAGCATATGATGCCACCTCTTTGCGACCATTTGGGAACTTCTGGCATTGTCCGATAACACCATCTGATATTACAAGTAAATAAGTCAGTGATGGATAATAAATAATATTTTTATTGAGTTTAGTGCAAACATAACCTATATCAAAGTTTTCAAATAGACTTATATAATAATAACGTTAAGATAATTTACCCGCCATCGCTACTTTTTCGTATTTGCTGTATTAAAAGTTTGCAAGTAGATGAGCTTAGCGAGACATTCTTCAAAAGCCCCACGGCCCTAGAGCCAATCATTTTATGCCTCTGAAACAAATCTAATGCACTAAGCAAGTATTATTAGCTTATACGAATTAAATGTCTCGACAGCAGTCGACGCTTGCCGATTCGACAACTGCGTATCCTACTGCAGCGCTTTGCTCCAAAGTGTACATATATATTCAACTAATTTGACCTATGTGAGTGGTAATGCAGGGAACTCTTTAACCGATAATGTTATATAGTCAGAGAGTAATGGGCGAGACAAAGACAGAAAATGCGGATAAAAACAAAAAAGAGCACATCGTCTGCTTATGCTGGTGAATGTGTTCCTGTCAACTTGTAACAAAGGAATGGTGATATATTTTATAAATTTTTACGAAAATTAGAATCGAAATTACTGAAAAATGGTTAGATACTGTTGTATATGTAAAGTGGAGTGTGGAATGATAGAGGATGTCACTTTGCATAAGTAATTATTCCTTTCTTTCTTTTTACATTCCTTTGATTGATTTTTTTCTTAGGTATAGTCTCTACCTTGACCCAAGTAATAAAACGATATAAATAATTTTCAGGATACCACGAGATGAAGAAATGAAACAAAAGTGGTTTATAGTTATAGGTAGAGAAGTTAATGTGAAATATGCTACAGTTTGTAGTCAACATTTTAAACAAGATGATTTTGTATACAAAGTTCATGGAGACAGCATACGAAGATTCATTAAGCCTACAGCTGTTCCATCGTTGTCCTACATTCGCTTTGATAGGTAAATTCATGTTTCATAAATACAAAATTACCTGAAATTTTTAGAGTTCCACAAATAATGTACTGTCATAAATTTTAGTGAAAATGGTATCTGTCCAAACTTAGCATTTGAAAGATCCTCCAGCGAAGAATCAATTGTTTCACCATTACAAGATTCTAATGTGTGAGTCACATGCTGCTGATCAGCAAACAGTTTGGTCATCTTGAAATAACTATAAAATAAAATTTTGTCTTACAGTAACAAGAATGCTCAACTGCAATTACCAGCTAAGTTGAAATCAACATCAGTTGAAAGTAATTCAAGCTCAGAACTTAATAAAGCTCAGAATATAGGAAAATCTGTATGCAACAATAAAAGTTATAGTAATCAACAGAACACTGAATTTGAAGAATCTGAGAATGATGATGTGGAAATGCAAAATATGCACGATTATGCATTAACAAAAAATCAATGGACAAAAAGGTATGTGATTATTTAAATGATAAAGAATGTTTGTTTTTAAATGTCAAGATGTTTGTTATTTGAATCTCATTTCAATCAAAACTATGCTTTACGTAAATTATTTAGAATAAATCAGAACATTTGAATGCTTAAATTACTAATATTTTGAATTATTTTGTTAGGCGTTTTCACAATCGAAAGACTATTGGAGATTTATCTAGAGAAGATTTTATTTCTGATGAAACTTGGGATGTAGTACAAAATTATATTGAAGAAAACAAAAAAAAGCAGAGGGCATTGAATCAACAAATTGTTCGTTTGAATGAGAAGGTAGCTAGTTTAAAAGCAGTTATAGAACACGTTAATAAGACTAGATCTCTTCCTAAAGATGTTCGGGATGAGATAGAAAAAACAATTTAATGTGATATAAAAATTGTCGTAACTTTTGTATTTTTATAAAATACTTTGATATTGGCAATAACTATTAATAGGTTTAAGTTTTGTGATAAATTGACAAAAATGTGAAACATGACAAAATGATTTTCCTGCAATGACTGATAATGAAAACATGCAATTATTATCAATGTAAACAATATAATATTAGCTTTAATTATCTCGGTAGCCAGCGAATTGTGCTTATTCGAAGAATTGCATTTTATAGAATATTTATATTTTTTTATACACTAGTTACTTGATTAAACGTATTGTTAAATATGTTTGCAATACTTTATGAACATAAGAGTATATACGTTTGTAGTTAGTTTCAAGGAGAAAACATTCCCATTTCTCATTACAAATTATTAAAGTATTTAATGTCTGAATCTTGCCATACTCTTAAATTATTATAATTAAGCAAGTAAGGTGTACTACAAATCACTTGATCTTGATGTTACATGAAAATTGAATGTGATTTTCTACTATGCAACATAAGATGTAAGATTGAGGAACAAAAATCAATATTTGAATAAAAAATCGCCGTTAAAACATTACTATTTCTTATTAATACCTTTATATCAGCTCTTCATCGATCATTCAACGATTTTATAATTTCAAAAAACATATCAATGTATTCAGAATGTTGTGCTTACAGCACAAAATAGTGTTATATTTTATAATTATTTTTGACATGTAAAATTTCTAGTATCGTGTAAGTAACTTAATAGACAATATACGAGTATAAATATATCATCGTATAATATAGTATCGTATAAATATTATCATTTAAGAAATATTCAACATAAATTAACAAGAATCATCTATCAAAGATCACTTTTTTTTGCAAAAAAGTCGTGTAAATTATTGAATTTCCTCACTATTAACTGAAACACTGAAATCATAAATACTAAATTTTTTGAAAAGAATGAAAAAGTTTAGGGATTTTCTACAAAAGAAGACATCGGACGTTGACTATCGGCCATTAAACCGATAACGAGTATACCGAGATTATCAGTTAAAAAAAATTGTCTGTTTAAACTCTGGATGTGCCCATGATTGCGTTGAATGCGAGCAATGATAAGAAATCTATCTTTTGATTATCTTTTTTCACCATGGTAAATGTCTAATAACCAATGTCAGATGTCTGCTTATAAAGAAAATCCCTTAGATATATAATAAAGCTTACATGAATACATTTAAAACTTTTTGCATGCTTTAAATGTGATCAAAATATCCAACAAGTAATTTAAAGCTATAATTTTTTCCAAGGGATAAATGACTGTTCTCGAGTTGTGTGTATATACATATATATGTAGTGATCGTTGTAAGACAGCGGTGATAATTTCATCCAATCGAAATGGTCGCTGATAAAAAATTGTAATGCAGTCAAAATTTCAATGATTGTGGAGGTAAGTTGTTGAGGCGTAGTTTTAAAAAAATAAATAACTCGTTTCATTTTGACGACTGATAGGTATTAAAATAAAAAGATTAAACGCTATTAGCATAAATGTTATAGTTTATTCACGTTAACAAAAACTTATTTTTCGGCTAATAAGACAAGGTTATAAATAATCTTGACTTATAAAGGAAAAGCATTGAAAAATCATTTTTAAATGAAACATTTCAAGAATTTTCATAAATTCTCATTCACAATTACAGCCTTTATTAGGTTAATTTTGTTGTTTTTATTATCGATATTTCACTTTAAAAGTTTTACAGAAAATACAAAAAAAAGAAAAAAGTGTAACTGAAGTTATTGCGATTTATGTACGGAAAAAGAACTTCAGGGTTTTACGTTGAGCGCGATGTACATGTGTTTAGTGACCATTGCAAAAAAGTTCTTCAGTAATGCACCGCATTAAAAATGAATATTTATACAATGTTTTGCGCGAAAGACTTTTTCAGTAAATATTCACCAATTTATATTAAGAATTTCCAATTTTCATTTGCTTTAAAAGTTGATCTCGGTGAAACATCTATCTGTAAAAATAAGGTTGTATGTGCTATTAAATATGAGATGTTTTTGTTATTCTAAGCATTCTTTGTATAGATTTAGTTTAGTTATTTCATAAACTGTTATTCTTATTGAATTACACTTTAGTTAATTGTATTTTCATTTCAGTGGCTTGCTTATTATAATAGAAGTTGAATTTAAATTTATAAAGTAAATAATAATAATTTATGTAGGAATAATTACTTGTTGCTGATTCGGAATTTTCCTACGAGTCTCCTTTTTCCTTCGTGTCTGCAAACTACGGTATAGTAATAATTAACGTATCATACACACACACACACACACACACACACACACACACACACACACACACACACACACACACACACACACAAATAAATATATAAAGGTAATTTGTGCCAATTCATGTATTTTTATACTTACTAAAGATAAACGGATAAATTGACATTTTTAAATGTTACTATTTCTTTAAAAACAAAAACAACTGCTTCTGTCATTTTTGCGATTTGTGTGAACATCAAGCAAACAGCCAACAGTTATGAATAGAAATTATTTGCAATATCTGCCTATATCTTTATCCTACCAAATAAATACTTTTTGTTATAAGCTGTACGGGAAATTCCCTTTTATAAACTTAATGCTATTTTATATAAGAATATTTATAAAATCATAGTTATAGAAATGAAGTTTGAAACCAAGATGCACTGACTCGAAAATTAATTTACTTTTATGAAATTTCTGAATTAACTTTTCTAACGTACATTGAGACTAGAATAATATATACAACATAATACACATAAAAATTAGTAACTAAGTAATATTAGTCTTTAAAAAAGTAAAGAACATGCAAATAATAAAATTACAAATGCAGGTGATTTTTATAAAAAAAATTACCTTTTGAAAGAAAAAATGTAGTGAAGAAAAATTTAAAAAGAACATTAAGCTTTGAAACATGGTATACGTACATTTGCAGGAGGTCCTCTTATGACCTTATTTGGCCAGGAAAACTGTTCATAAAGAGTGTAAAATCGCATAATACTTTGGACTTACATTCTCGTGATTGCTTAGCTCTTCTTCCACTGTCGTTTCCGAAGTTTTGATGACCAAACTGAAAAAGGCAGCGGAGAAAAATTAAACTAAGAGCAAAAAAAAGCGAGCGAGTCTGGAAGGCGACGGTATTCGCCATTACATATTTCTCAGGCCGAGTCACCTAAGTTGAGCGATAAAAGCGACCTGGGCGGCGCACGATTGGTCGAGCTGTCTATTCCACGGATTGATCGCATCAGGGCGCAACCTCCCTAGATCAGCAGATTGGCCGACTGGTCGTAATCTCGGTACGCGATCCAGCCCCTTGTCGTTGATACCGCTAGGGGCTGCAGTTATATAGTGGCTGTATAAGCTCTGGTGTCGTTTCTTGGAAAAAAGGTCGCGTATATGGCCGCTGCGAGCTGCGCGCTTTTATAGACCGGCAGCTTTTATGGCGGTAACTCTCTCGCGATATCAAGCAAAGAAAGAGGAAAAAAGCGCACCCTTCCGAGATGCCTTCCCTTCTTCCTTTCTTTCCACTCTTTTCTCGTCTCTCATTTATGGCGCGCTTCGCTCTTCGGCCGCGGTTTATTGGATGCCGCGCGCTTCCAATGCCGATTTTTCCTTGGGCTTTTTTTGTTTTTATTGCACCCAGCACAATATACACGACTGGCATCAGCTGCAACACCCGTTTCTTTTTCGCTTTCTCATCTCCGCGATACATAGGAGAACGGTAGTTCGATTCGTCATCTCTTTTGGTATGAGTGCGCGAGGAACGCGCATTTTGTATGTACTTTAACCTCGAGCGTTCAACGATATTACTACGCTTCGGACTCGAGTCTTATCGTGGAAGTTATCTCGCTCGTTCGATTTATTGCAGAGATAGAGGCAGCTTTACACTAAAAAACTAATAAATGGAGAACAAGGTTTGCTTACCTGAAATTACTTAAATAAAAGTAAATTCGAATAGCAAAAATGAAAGAGATTTATTGCCGTATAAACTTATTTCAAAAACCTTTCAATTAGCGAAAAATGTTGACAGCTAAATATTGTGATTACCTTAGATTATCGGCAGTTCATCGTCTATTATTTTAACAATTGTGATTCTTAGTTTTCAATCACAATGTACCCAACACAAGCCATAATTTTCGTAGTCATGCTTTTTCAAATCTCAAATATATGCTTCATAAACTCACTATTCGTTTAAAATATTATTTAAAGTATTTATTATAAAAAAAATTAAGTTGACCATGCTTCTCTGAGAGATAAAGTGAACGAAAATCATTTTGGGAGACTCTATTTTCTTCGTTAGACCGTGTTTATTTACAAAGAGCAGAATCTAGTATTTAAAAAAATGATTTTTCATGTTTAAGAAGTAATTTTTTTAAACTTTCATTAAAAAAAATTATGTGAAATTTTTAGAAAAACTACTTTCAACAAAAAGAGTTGGAAAAAATTTGGTTCTTTTAACTTAACAGTGCTTTCTCTAGAGTAAATCAATGAATTCATACTCAAACAAATATAAGTGTACATAAGTGTTTTATTGATATATATCTTGTGTGTATCAAACTGAAATCGATTTTTGAACAGACTTTCAATATATGCCAATTCGCAATAACATTTTATACGGTTATACTTTGTTTGCGAACTAATCCTTAAACAATTAAAATAATGCTTTCTTATAACTTATATAAGTCATCCCCACACTTTGCTCTATGCTTTTAAAATCAGCTTTCATGTACAGGGGCATAACAACGCCAGTTACCCATTTCTTTGGTCACCACAGTCAAGCATCGGATCGATAGATTTAGTTATCGGAAAGACTCGAAAGGCTGTTATTTGAAAAGCTTGCTCGATCCTATTGTTAAATGTTAACTTGTAAAAATTTCTAGACTAATATATTGTCTGCTCATGATGCTTAATGCAAAATACTTTTCGCGTATCTTAAAATGGGGTAAAGGGTGAATATCATTAAAAAATACAGAAATAAAGGACGAGGGCGGGGATAGATTAATGTTATTGAAAAATTATTGTAATTAATAATAATAGTAAAAATAAAAAAATACGGAAGTGTTGGAACATTAAGAAAAATAAAAATAAAAGTGGATGGTAGGGGAGGATTGGGAACAAACTTTTCATAAAAAATAAAGGGGGTGAGCTGGATCAGTTATATTGAAGAAAAGGAATATTTTTATTTAATAATAATAATTATGGGACAAATTCGGGGAAGGCGTTGATTTCCGTAGTTCTGTTTTTTTTTTATTTTTTAAGCATATATTATGTCTACGTTCATCAGTCAGTTAGTAGGCAATGTACTTCCTTTTGTTTCTTTATTTTATCTAACAGTTCTTCAAACATCGCCTTGTGATATATACAGCCCTGTACTGTTACGTATCGGCACGTAGGCAAATAGACATGGATCATTTCGTGTAATATTGCTCCGGTTAATTGAATTATATTTTTTTACATCAATCGGTTATTTTTTATTTTTTTTGAAAATGGTGACACCAAAATA